TGACTGTAATAACCACATTGAGGTCAAGCTGGCTTTTCTCTGCCATCTTAATGACTGACTTTTCAAACAATTCACTCAGTTGTGCATCTGCTAATTTGGGCATTTGGTGGCTGAGAACCCTAGACTGATGATTTTTCCCTCCCACTCATTGAGGCTGTATATCTGGGATATGAACCAAAATCCATCATTTAAAGTTCAAAAGAAAAATGGAACAATTCAGCTATGAGGACATTCACTGCAGTATTAATTATATTGTTGCCTATAAGAGAATAGAGTCAATGAATTATGACCCATCCATATAGAATAATATGCAGTTACTAAATACATGTTTTCCAAGATTATCTCATGACACGGGCAAATAAATCTGGATCACATACTCTACTGATAAATAAAAAAAAACTGGGTAAATATTCTACTAATTATAAGGGAAAAAACCATATGCATGAACACCCAGAAAAAAGCCTTGGAGGCACTGCACCAAATATCAGCGATGTTTATCTCTAAGTGATTCTCTGTGCTTTATATTTTCCAACCTGTCCGTTACGAACGTGTTCTTTTTTTAGCATCAAGAAAATGTGTTTGTTTGTTTGTTTTTCACTAGAAAAATGATTTCTAAGATCAAAAAAAATCACAAACGAACTTTAAAAAGGGTGATTGTTGAATGCTGGTCATTTGCCATGTGGAACACTCACGTCCATGCCGGCCACAGCCGGCGCCTCTCCGAAACATCAGCCTGCAGACTTCCAGGTCTCAGAAAGCCTTCGCTATGTCCCTGGCTTCACCTTACCTCTTTCTCCTTACCTTCCTCCCTTCCTCCCACACGGAGACACTGGGCTCTCCTGAGGTTTGTCTTTAGAACAATGAGAATTCTAACTTTCTCAGGATTCAAGATAGCTAAGTTCCCCTGCTGCAGGTCCCACACAATCTGGCCCCTACTCCTGCCCACACCCTCACCTCTCTGACATCAGTCTACCCCTGGCCCAGGGTCTTAGCAAAGCTGTCGTTTTTGCCTGCACCCATCCATCTTCTCCGAGGCAGCTGCAAGGGTGCATTTCCTCACCGGTATGCATTTTGGCATTATATAGTACTGTCCATGAATTTTCCTTTAGGGTAGTAAAGAATGCTATAGAGTATTTGTTATAAAAAGAGGCGATGGGCTGACTAGGTTGAGAACCACAGCTGCACTGTGATTGCTGGTTGGCATTTCTGTCTCTCACACTAAATTGGAAACTCTGGGAGGGCGAGAACTGAGCCCAAGTATATTTGCTGAGAGGAAATGAGTGAACACATGAGCAGACTGGTGATACCTAAGTAGTGAGGACCCCCCAGGGGCAGCTGCAGTGTGAGGCTTCCGCTCCCTTTACTTGTGAGAGATGAGTCACACCCTTGCCAGTGTGTGCAGGGACCTGACTGGGAGGCCACCAGGACATGCTCCCTGGCCAGGAACTCCTGAGCCCAGAGTGAAGCAGGTCCGGGTGCCCCACAGGCCTAGGGGGAGCTAAGGGCCTTGGAAGGCAAGAGCAAGGAGCTGCCTGCTCCCTGCATCCGCAGCACGCCTGCCTGTCTCCGGAAGCCCACCACTCACCAGGCCTGCAAAGGGCTATTGGCCCCACAAAGACCACAAAGCCCATAGCTGTTCATGGAGCATGGAGGCTCATGACTTCCCTGCGGGTGAAGAAAAGAGCCCCTGAGGATTCGGAGTACAGGGCCTGGGCTAGAATCCTGCAGTCTTAGGCAAGCCACTTCAACCTCTCTGCGTCTCTAACCTGGGGTCTCTTATACCTACCCAGCCCCCCAGCCTGTGGTAGGAATCAAAGAGACTGTAAACAGGAGCGTCCTGGTCAACTGTGAGGACTGTGCAAATGATGGTTACTGTTACACGGAACAACGGTAAGTAATAATAGTTTCACTGCTGAGCATAATTAAATGGTGATTCAGAGCCCTTCAGGAGCTTAAGCTCATCATTGTCAACATCAACTATCACGGACCGGTATTTTGGATCAAATGTGATTGTTGGAATTTTCTTGGTATTTCTGTTCTAGATGAGAAAGACTTTTCTGAAACCTATCAAAGTATGCTGGTAAGCACGCTGGTCACCTGCTGGAGTCCACTCTAATCCTTTGCTGGTCCCCACCTGCCCACGCCATCCCGTGGATGGATGAAGGGAAGGTTTGTCTACTTCGGCAGAATGTATTCACTTGAGCAGGAAGCTCTGCTCCTGTGCAAACCATCTCTCCACTCCACCCTCTTCCTTTGATCCTCCCACTGAATTCGGAGCTGGAACGACAGAGGCAAAGCCGCTCAGATGTAATTATTTTAATTCAGCCAGATGCTGGGAATTAGTCTCTTTTCCTTGCAAGTATTCTCGGGAAACTCAGCCAAAGATGGCCCAAAGAAAAGGAGCTGACAGTCTCAGGGAAGGAGGGGACATCCCCCACCTTGTGCTGGAACAGCTTAAATCCAGGAAATTGCTGCCATCCTTGGATGCAGGGGGGAGGGCGAGCAGGAAAGGAGGAGGTGGGGGGCGGGGGGAGCGGGGGGGCGGGGCTAGGAGGTAATGTAAACTGTTCACCAATCCCAGAAAACTAGACCCGTAACAACACCCAGCATTTTCTAGAGCAGTAGGATTTCCAAAGTGTTTTCGCTTTTATGACCTTATTTAATTATAAACTGGGGAGGAAATCACTGGCTGAGCTAGAAGCTTGGGAGCAAACTGAATTTAGGCTTCAAGGAATTCAACCTTTCCCAGGCACCGCGTAGAAGCCAGGCACCTGTTAGGCACAGTCCATCCCCTTTAATCCCCACAGCAGCCCTCTAAGCCCGAACGCGTAGGTGGAGGAACTGATTTAAACAGAAGCTCTATCCTACATGTCAGCTGAGTTCTCTCCCTTGTCTGAACTCCAGCAGTGTCCACATCAAGAGCATACACATATGTCGTTTTCATTATCACCTGTTGCTGTGCTTCCAGTTCATTCAGTCACAGGTTATGATAGGTCCTTGAGAGCACCTACCATGTGCCTAGCCCTCTACTGGGTGTAGACATGGGGGCAGCTTTACGCCTGCTGTCAAGTTCCTCCAGATCCACCGAGGTGAGTAGACCAGGGGAGAAACCAGAAGCAGGGTTGTGTATGAGTTGCTTTAATTCTTGCTTATACTGCTCTGTCCTGACCATTGTGTCTTATTCTCTAACTGGAAGCCCCTGGAAGCAGTCTAGGACACCTTAGCTTAGTGGTTAAAGATCCTGGCTCTAGAACCAGACTTCACGGGTTCAAGCTCTTCCACTCAGTGGCCATGTGACCTTGGCAGGTCATTTAACCTCTCTGTAAAATGAGGACCATAATATATCAGACATTATAGCACATCATACTACATATTATATTATGTATTATAATACATCAGATAAACAAGTTGATACATGTAGCCATTTAGTACAGTAAGTAGCTCAGAATAATTGCTCAATCAATGTTTGCTAACAATTTATACCTCCATCCCAGTAGTTCTCAAAGTATGGACCAGGAAATCCCCTGTCCCCAGCGGGGGAACTGGGGTGGGGGGGGTCTGTGAGGTCAAAACTATTTTCAAATAATGCTAATAAGATGTGGGATTTTCCAGAAGTTACCCGATGGTGATATCAAAACAAACTGCTGCAGAAGCAGATATGAGAGTGCAGTTCTCTTGTGTCAAACCAGGCATTAAAGAGACTGACAAAAATGTAAAATAAGGCCATTCTTCTCACTATAAGAGCTTTGTTTTGGAAAATACAGTTACTTTTCAAAATAGGTGTTATTTATGTTAACCAGTAATGGGGGAAAACTATTGTTATTTTTAAATAAATTAATACATTATTTAAAAATTCTTCTCAGTGTTAAGTAAATATTGATAGCTGAGAGGTACAATAGTTGCGCTGACCTTCCAGGCAGGTCAGAAAATCCTGGTTCTCCTCCTCTCTCCCAGGCCCCTAACCTGAACTGGACCCAGCCCCACGGGAAGCTGGGTCCCAGGTTGCCCCAGGCTTGGTCTTGTGCTCACGCCCTGTCGCTGCTTCCACCTTTTCTCCCCAGGACCCATCATGCTCCCGCCTGTGGCTCCTAATTGACCGAAGAGGCACGCAGACCTGGGTGGCTGGGGAAAGGGGCCTGGGTTTTGGAGTCAGGCTGGCCTGGATCAGCGTCCTGACTCTGCCGCTTCTCATTCTTTATCAGGTGACTTAGCCTCTCAGCCTCAATTTCTTCATCCATAAAATGGGAACAACAATAATATCTCAGTCTTAGGACAATTTTCAGGAGTAGTGATAACTGATGTAAAACATCCATCACTTGACAAATAAAAACTATATTTTATCATTGTTATTAGCCATCAGGTCCTCTGAGCCCTGTCAGCTTCTCCACAGTCCCTGCTGCTTCTCCACAGTCCGACAGAAGAAGCAAAACCAAAACTGCCTGGGATTGAGACTCCGCTTCCCTACACACACATTCGCATGCGCACACACATTGTGACACAGATGATCAACCACATGTCCTCATTCCCTCACCCCATGCAGGGTGTCACCCTACTCTAGAGCTAGAAGTGAAAAATGACAACTAAATGCCAAGTGCCCAGGCTCTGAGACTGAAAAGGCCCCTCTGCTGCCAGTGTTGGTGCCAAGCCAGTCTTGACTCAAGGACACATGAGCGGCAGTGTGGCAGGAGTGGAGGGAGCCCTGGCGTGGGAGCCTGGGGACCAGGGGTCCTGGCCCAGCGCTGCGCTGACTGTGGGTGGCTTTCCTCACCTCTCTGAGCCTCGGTTGGCCGGCTCAGCTGTGAAAAGGACTTACACCTTCTAGCTTTGATGTGACGGAACTCTATGATAGGTAAGACAGAGAAGCCCTGCCTTCCTGCTCCCTCCAAAGACACACGTGGTCCCAGGGTCACAGGGAGGCCAGCTTCCCCTCCATATGCCCACCTCTCCCCGCCCCCTCCACACACACACCAGGCCCTGTCCCGGAGCCCTCTGCCACTCACCCTGCAGTTGCTGAGCTCCTCGGCGGACAGGATGATGGTGCCACATTTCTTCCCTGGGACACCACTGGGAGAGGAAAAGATGAAAGGATGGAGAGCCAGACAAAGACAGAGACATAAACCTGAACACTCCCGGAAGCAGCCCTCCTCATCCTCCACCACCCCCCGCCACCCGGCAGATCTGCCCGAGCCCTCAGAAGACAGAGTCTCCTGACCCCCTGTGGCTGTGTAGCCTAGTGCCCTGGTTCCTGGGCCAGGCCCCACCCCTGCTCCCCAAGAGCCCACCAGGAAGGGTAGCATCTGCAGTGAAAGTCCGAGAATCGGAAAAGCATCCAGACTCACCCGGAGGCTTCCAGACCAGTGGTTCTCAAACTTTCCATCCAAACACCACTTCTGTGGGCAAAAGACCTTGTGGGCTAGCCACCCCACCCTATACCCTCCTGACCCCAGAATCCCAGAACATTCCAGCTCTGAGCTACTCTGATTCACCGCAGGAGAGCAACAAAGGGGAGTAAAGCAGGAGGGCTGGTGTACCTGCCGGGGCAGCGTGCCCAGCCTCGCTCCCATGACTACTGCCCCTGGAACAGCTCGGTTGGAGTCTCCCAGAGAAATCCCAGACAACCATGCAGCTCCTCAGGGAGATGGGCAATGAGCACCTGAAGTTGGCCCACCCAGAGAATCCCCTCCAGGAGAGCAAGCTCCCCAGGTAGGGCTCCACCCAGGGGACCTGCACCACTCTTCCCTTGTCCAGCAGGGACCCCTCCCCCAGGCACCAGCCCATTCCACTCTGATGTTTAGGACTGACCGGGGGTCTCAGTGCAGCCAGGGGCCACTGGGAGGTGGAAGAAAATGTCAGGTTGTCCAGCAGCTGCAGGACTTTGAGCTCATTAGTATACCTCTCTGAGCCTCAGTTTCCTTGCCCATAAAATGGGTATGACTGTAGAATCCATTTTACTAATATGCACACACAGCGCTGGGCACAGAGGAGGCCCTCGAGGAGCACCATTTCCGCGCCCCCCCCCCCCGCCCATCCCCTTTCCTTTACAACTGCGCAAAGCTGATCGAATCCAGCCCCACACTTCAGGCCCGCCCCGGGGCCACCAGCATGCTGTCTGTGGAACGCATTTTGAGAACCACTGATGGAGCTCTTCCCTGTACCGATTCTCAGAGGGAGGGGCTCTCAAACAGAGGAGGCAGGGGAGGCAGGGAAGCCGGTCCTGGGGGCTGATGAACTAGCCAGATCTCTCCATATCAGGTGAGCAGGGGCTACATCTGGAGGCTCCCCTGCCACAGGCAGGTGGCAGTGCCTGCTAGCTTGTCCCCTTAGACAGAGCAGCTGAACCGAGCGCCCCAAGGCCCCTCCCCACCACCTGTCTGGCCCTTCCTGGTAGTAGAGATATGATTTGTTTGACCAGGCGATAAAATCCTCACATAAGCCTCCTCGCCCAAGGCTTCTCCATCTGTTCCTTTTTCTGCCTCTGAGGCCCTGTTCTATTTCCAATCTTTCCTTCCCCTCTCCAGCCCTGCTCCCACCTGCTCGGCCTTCCTTTCTGTCTCTCTCCCTCCCTCTCTCTGGTCATTCTCACCCTCCATCTCTCTTTCTCTCTCTCTCTCTCTCCCTCTTTCTAATCACTGTTTCTCTACTCCCTTGTGAATTGACATCCACACCCTTCCTGGGCTGTGAGTCTTCCTTGGTCCCCTGGAGACCCCTTTCCCACATCCAGCTGCTCTGGTGGCCAGTGGAGCTTTGCTTACTCAGCCAAAATGCTCATATTCAGGGGGCACCTCCAGGCTGGTCCCCCAAGCCCACACGTCTCCCCTGCCACCTGCTGAGGTAAGGACCCTCCCTCCAACCAGGAGAGGAGGGGAGGGAAGGTGTGGGGAAGGCTGCGCTGCCCACACTTGGATGAGGCCAGCCAAAAGCGGATGGTCAGAGTGGAGGCTGGCCCACTGCAGCTGGTGAGCAAATGCAGAAAGTGAGGATTTAGCGGAAGCTACTCTCAGGAGACTGACATCCAGCAGCGGGAGCCATGGAGGGAAAGGGAGAGAAAGAAGGGTGAGAGGTGAGAGGCAGAAGAAACCAGGCCAGAGAGAGGGAGCGAAAGGAAAATGCCCAGCCCCTCTGACTCCTGTGGCAGCACCTATCTAGCCCCGACCCTGCTCACAGAAGTCCTGTGAGCCACTGGCTGTGGAAGTTTGAGCTCCAGCCGGGATGGGGGCGGGAACCACCTGCAGAGTGGCCCAAAGTGCCTGAGCCCTTGAGAAGGGACCCAGGGTCCTCTCCGTCCTCTGGTCCAGGGCTGAATGCACAGTGGTGGGACTGGGGACTGGGCCAGGCCTCTGAAGCCCCTCTGAGGAGTTGGCCGAACGTCTGAGGACTCGAGGGCCAGAGATGTCTGGTGACCTACCCATTGGACACAGCTGGCATGGGTTTGCCCGTCCTGGAATTCAGGCTGAACGCTCCTATCCTGTGCAGAGAAGAAGAGAGAGATCATGTCGTGAGCCAAGCACCCTGTTCTGAGGCCAGAGCGCTTGGCATCTGGATTCTTGGAGAGGTTTCTTTTCTGGATCAAAACAGGACCAAAAGCCATAGGTCAGAGGAAGGAAAGGTCTTCTTCCCAAACCCTGTTGTAAAGTCCTGGGCAACTGTCGCTCAGAGGTTCTCAAAGTGGGGCCCCAGAGAGCAGCAGAGGCATCCCCTGGGAACGTGTTAGAAATGTAAATTCTCAGGCCTCACCCGGGACCTGCGGATCTGAAACGCTGGGGGCAGGGCCCAGCAGTCCAAGTTTAAAAAGCCGTCCGGGGATGCCGATGCCCGCTGCCGCCCAAGAACCACTGCTCCCCTCTGTGAGCCTCCGTGTGCAGGCTGTGAAGTGGAGAACGCTGAGAGCGTTCCCTGAGATCAGATGCCTGGTGAAAGGGAGCTGCTCATAGGCCTGGCCGAGAAGACGACTGCACTTGGACATGTAAACCTTCAGTGTCCAGCACTGCTTTGGGCGGCATTTTGTTCCCTGTCCCCACCTCCCTTCCATCTCCTGATGAGGGTAAGGCTAGGCTTCAGCTAATAGGTCCCCTTCCTTCAGGAACACCAAACATCACCAACCTCCACAGGTTAGCTCCGGCTCGCCTGCGACAGCTCAGGTCCCTAGCCATCTCCCACCCAAGCCTTCCTCAATCCCCCCGGGTGTGCCCTCCACCAAAGATGGACCAGGAGATAGTGGGCAGAAACCAGACCCAAGGAGACCCAAGTGACTCGTGAGCTTTTGACCAGGCAATTGGGAGCTGAGAGGGGCAGACACACACTTACTCTTGGGATCCCATTTTCTAGAAGCTTCAGAGCCTCCCTACACCTGGGTTTACTCTCAAAAAAGGATAGCCATTATCATTATTTTCTGTGTACCCAGAGGAAGTAACCTTTTGGGGGACAGGGAGGCCTTCCTGGGTGTCCTGAAGTTATCACACAGTTACTGGGGGCCAGAGACAAGGACCTGGGAGAGAGACCACCCCCTTCCACACACACAAACACACACAATAACAGGTCCTGCAGTTATTGGTCATGGTGAGGGGGCAGCATCCTGTGTGAACCTGGCAGAAGCAAGTTGGGGGGTGATGCCCAGCTCAGCCTGATCCCCCTTTCCTGCCCACCCTGCCCATGACCTGGATGCTTATCCCAGTCATCAGGCCTCTCTTGCCTGGACAAGACAGGTCACCCCCACCACCTGGCCTGCCCTGTCTGGTCCCTGAAGCCACCCTCAGACTCCACTGTGAGAAGCCTTGGGACTCTTCATCCCAGAGCCTGCTCAGAATAATGGCTTCCCCTAAAAGCATGCAAGGCCCTTTAATGCAGGCTGCCGGGGCAGGGTGAGATGGGGAAGGTTCCACCATTCCCAGCTCTGGCCCACAAGGCTGAAGAATCTGAGGTGCACGCTATGTGTGTAGAATCCTCTGTTTAAACAAACCCCAGCTCTCCCACTTCCTAGCTGCGTGGCCTTGGACAAGTTTCTTCCCCTCTCTGGGCTTTGGTTTCTTCCCCTCTACAAGGACCGGGGTGAGGGATTAGAGAGCATCTCAGAGCCATCTCAGGAATACGGGGCTCTAATAACCAAGCTGGAGTCCCTCCAAGGTGGCTGAGTTAAAGGCCCTGCAAGGGGAGAGCCCGTGGGGTCTCCTTATTCCTAATCATCCCTCACGACTGGCTGACTGCTTTGCCCCCGACGCCGCTGAGCCAGCCTTCAGCAGGGGTGGGCAGGAAGTTGGCCCATCAGTGAAGAAGGAACCCAGACAGGCCCCATTCTCCTCTACACTTACGTGAGGGGTTTTTCCAGGCGGCTCCCGGGGGACCCCACAATCTCTCCAAGGGTGCAGAAGGCCTGGCCCAGGAAGTCCTGCAGATCCAGGGTACAGAAAACACCAGTGTCGCCCACTCTGCTCACAGCCATCCCAGCTCCCCCATCACCCCACCCCTGGAAGTGTGAAGGCTCTGAAATGACAGGATACAGCATCCGACACACACTCTGTGTCACAGTGAAGCCTGAGGCTGACTCAGAGCTTGGCATTTAAGAGACTTTCAGAATCGCTGGGCAGTCACAGGTAGAACTCACATGTTTGGATAAGTCAGGGCTCTTCGAGTCAACGTCGTATCTGCAGGGAACACAGAGGGGTGGTGAAGGCAGCCGGGTGTCCTGCCCCGCCCAGTCTGAGCCAGGACCTCTGCGCTACAAAATACAGGCCCTGACCCCAGAAAAGCTTTGACAGAGGGAGAGGTCAAGGGGAAACTCCCGTCACTTGGGGAGAAAAGGGCACCCAGATCTTCTTGGGGGGGATCTAGAGTCCTCCCCAAGATCTTTCCTCAACTCCCCTCCCAGGTCAGGTAGCTGTTCAGTGCCCTCCCACACTTAACGGAGAACAATGAGGGGCGGTGCCTTGTTCCCTGTCCCCACCTCCCTGCCATCTCCTGATGAGGTGAGGCTAGGTTTCGGCTAATAGTCACTTTTATTCCAGGCCAGCCCTGAGCTTCCTCTAACATCACTGTCCACGTGGAAAGGGGATCGTCTGCTTGGCCACTAGTCCTGCGGCTCCACCTCCCAGCACTACTTCCTCCCCAGCTCCATCCTCAGCACCATCTTCTGCTTACAGGTCAAAACGGAGGTTCTGCTTCTCCTCAAAGAAGTAATCCACAATGAATTTGCGCACAAAATCGGGGTTGAGTGTGTTGTCGATGACTTCGGTTCGTCCAAACTGCAAGAGGAAACAGAATGTGGACACCGGGGCCAGGCTGGAAGGGCAGGGGAGCACAAGCCAGGCCTCGCTCAGCTGTCCCATCCCCAGTCCAGGTAGAAGCGCCTCCCTCTAACACTGGACACTGTCCACATTGTGGCTCCAGTTTCGCTCTCTCTATCTCTATCTAGGCTCTGCCCAAGGTGAATGGTTTTGATACCTGGATACCTGAGCAGGTGCTTCACTTTCCCACCTCACCCTGCAGTTGCCTATGCTGTCCTCCACCCGGCCTCCCCTTCTTGGCCAGTGGCATGTCCTCCATTCCTTCAAGGTCCCTGACTGGTGCCGCCTCCTGCAGGTCCTCCAACCAGAGAGTTTACTTCTCCTGAACTCTCATTGAACTTGTGCCTGCCCTTATGACCACCGTTCTTCCCTGACTGATTCCAGTTAGGTATGTACTTATTGGATGCTCTCACTCTAAATGCAAGGGCAGAGACAGGGACAGCGGGATCAGATCCTACCTCCTGGAATCCTCAGCCTCGTGTGAGCCCTCCCTTTGAATGTGGGCTTGACCTTCTGACTCACTTATAATGAACAGACTAGAGAGCACAAGTCACTTCCAGGATTGCAAGGACTACGACGTGCATCTTGGGCCCTCTCTCTCGCTCTCTCTGCCTGGCTCACTTTGATGAAGGCAGCTGCCATGTTGTGAGCTGCCCTGTGGAGAGGCCCATGTGGGAAGGAACTAAGAGCAGCCAACTCACCCCTAATAATCGGAACCCTACCAACAACCACCGACGACACTGGCATCAGAATCACCTAGAGGGTTTGTTAAAACACAGATGCAGGCCTTACGCCCAGAGGTTCCGATCCAGGGGGCTTAGGGTGGGGCTTGAGAATCTGCATTTCTAAAAATGGAGCTGATGCTGCTACTGCTGATGCAGGGACCTCCCTTGGAGAACCACCGGGTGACACGGTGGTGCACAGGACCCCGAGTTCCCAGGAGCCTTCCACACCTGGGCGGAGGGCAGAATGGGCAGGATTCCAGGTCGTCAACTTCCATCAAAGCAGCTCTCTTTTACAAATCTGTTCAATATAATGGACTTTTTTGGTGAGATTTTGTGTCAAAAAAGGGACATGGGGCTCAAAGATAAAGCGCAAAAGCACTGTTCTTTACATTCCATGAAAGGAGCACACCGTATTCCCTGAAGTAAAGCACAATAAATATGTAAATAGGTTGTTAATCGTTCTTAATACATAAACATGTTTTTTGACTTGGATAGTAATTGCCAAAATAAAAAATCAGTCCTGAGTACTAGTCCTCCTTGAGGGGGCTCTGCAGCCCAGAACAATGCCAGCACATGGGCGCCTCTCACATGTGGTAGGCAAGGTCCCTGTCACTGGGACATACCCACGTGTGCCCTTCTACCCTGAATTAAGTTAGAAACTTGCAAAGAGAAACTCCCCCACCCCAAGGCAGGGTGGGGCCATCTGAGGAGCACAAGGTTGGCACCTTCATGCCTTCACCCCTTCATCTAATCAACCTCTCTCTCCTGTCAATTCCATCAGCTAAATCTCCTGTTCCCGCCCCCTGTGCTGTTGCCTGGGACGGGGCTCGTCATTTTCTCATCTCAACCACTGCAGCAGCCTCCTAGTGGGTCACCCATGTGGGCCAACTGCTAATGCTTGAAGACTCAGCTCCCAGAAGTCCTGCTCTGCAACTCCCAACCCCTCCCCTGTGCTCCTATAAACTTCCTCACATCCCTATCGCTGCACTTACCGCATCCCCTGGTAATAATCTACCGAGGCTCTTCCCACCCCACCAGCCTGAGCCGCTCAAGCAGCAGGAGGATCCAAGTTCTCCTCACCTTTGCAGCCCAGGACCCGACACTGCTGAACAGTCACAAGCTCACAGATGTGGACAATTATGGTCTCAGGAACTGTGTTAAATACTATTTAATCGTTTTGTGGTAGATTTTCTCCACTTTATTGAGGAGAAAACAAAAGCACAGAAGAGCTAAGTAATTTGTCCAAGGGCACACGGCTAACAATTGCTGACTTCATGGCACACACCCAGGCCCTCTGGCGCATGCTCTCTAAGCCATGCAGCGCTACATGTAAGGTCCCAGGGACGAGGACAGCAGAAGCTCACTGCTCGCAGGGGCTGGTACACAGCAGGTACTCAGGAATTGTTGACTGCAGTAAGGTTTTGAATGAGAAAATGGATGAGTGGGTTTGAGTCCTAAGTTCATCATAAGCTAACGTGTGCCTTGATCAGAGCCTTTGAAAGCCTCAGTTTCCTCATCAGAACATGGAGAATACTACTTGTCCTGCTTACTTCTTAGAATTACCGCCCAATCAATTCAATGATTAACTCGATGAACAGTTTTTAAACACTTGCTGCAGCCCAGGCAGTGTGTTGGGTGCTGAACTACAAACATAAATGAAACATGAACCCTGTATTAGGGGCTTCTCTATTACTAGTGGGACAACTCATAAACAAACAATGACAATACAGCGTGCTAACAGAACTATGTACAAAGGCCTGTGGGAAGGTCCTCCCCGAGGGCTGCCCATTAGAATCACGGGAAAGTGTGAGATATTGAAATGTACCAAAATGCGTCGTATTACTGGGGGCTCTGTTCCACCTATTAGTCAAGATGTCTGACTTCCTAGAGGTTTGCATCTTTTGTTATCTTTAAAACACTTTACAACTCTGTAAATTGTAGAAGGCATAGAGTGATGCAAATGGTTCTTATTTGTAGAAATGCAAATAAATTTAGTTCAGTGGTATGCAATTGATTATTTGATTATTACCCTCTGGCTATTGGCTAACTTTGCATCTATTTGTAAATTCATTTCAGCATTTCTGATTGCCCATATGTGTGTGTTATTTGAATTTCAGTAAGTTCTCACTTAACCGCGTTCATAGGTTCTGTGACTTTAAGAGAAACCATGTACAGTGAGACCAATTTTACCACAGGCTAATAGATATAAACAAGAGTTAAGTTCCTTTGGCATCTCAGCAACATTATAATAAAACAACATTGAACAAAAGACCTTATTTGAAGACCTGCTGTATTTTAACATCCTCCTGGTCCCTTCCATTAATTAATGAGTTAAAAAAACTTTGCTATGTCTTCATTTTATATTTGTATGGATTAATAATTTTACTTTTTAAAAAATCCTCACCCTAAGGTATGTTTATTGATTTTAAAGAGAGAGGAAGGAAGGGAGGGAGGAAGAGAGGGGGAGAGAGAGACAGCGATGGGCTGCCCCCCTCAGACACCTGTAAAAATTCCTCCGGCAGCGCTTTGGATAAAGCCCAGTCCACAGTTCCTTTGTGCACCTCTCTCCCCACCCCATCGCTGGCAGAGACTCCAAGGAAAACACCCATTAGGGAAGATGACAACGCTGCTTTTAAAATGGCACTCGAAGCTTCAATAGATGGGAATTCCCCAGAGACTGATCTCTGCTGGAGAAGAAAATGGAGTTCCCCTGGAAACAGGACAGGGAGGGGGGCTCCAAGGGCCCTCAGTACCTCTGAGAGCAGGAAAGGGGACAAGTGAGCCAGGCTGGGCAGTGCTGCATTATCAGGATGAAGGGGTAAATAACATGTGCACATCACAAAGGACTGGGAAATCTACAGCCCAGAGACTTCTTGCTAAAGATGTTTTATAGCCTTCATTACTTGGGCTAATAACAAAGAAAAAACATGCGAAAACTTGAATTTTAAAAATCCAAGGAGCCACCAGGTCCCTGTCAGGACCAATTTATACCCCTATTAATGATGGTATGAACACAACTGAACTGATGTTAAAACAAATCAATGTGGCTGTATTTCATTTTACATAGAATTATAGACTTTTCAAGTGGAAAGAGATTTGGAGCAATGAGGTATGAGCAGCAAACGAAGCAAACGAAGGCATGTGATCCGCTGTTGTACTTGGGGATGAAGGGGAAGGTGGGTTAACTCCTCACTACCTGCAGTCGGAGCCAAGCTAGCCCTGAACACTCTTCCAGCTCCCTAGCCTACCTGTCCCTCCTTCTGGTCCTTTCTGAACCCCTCCACACTCCAGGGTCTGAAGATGGGAGGGGGGCCTCGCGTTGCTCTTAGTCTGAGGCACAGGCATTCTCTGATCAACAAAGCTGAAGAGAAGCCCCAAAATCTTTGTTTTACCAAGTGATTCTGATTTAGAGAGCCCCAGGGTAGGTGGGCAAGTGTGGACTGGGTCGGTTTTGGTGTGTAACTGGGGAAGGGATTCAGCAATCAAGAAAGTGGGGGTACCTCTCTGATCCCAGGGCCTGGGGCAGTCTCCCAGTGGGGAGAAAGAAAGAAAATACAAATGAGAAAGAAGCCTGGAAATTAGGGTATTCATCCTCTGAAAAGCTCACTTGCCAACAAAACCCAGCGGGGAAAAGCTCCTGACATGCTGCAAAAGTTGCTCCCAAGGGCTCCTAAAACCTCATGACTAAGCCCAGAGAACATCAATTAAGCAGCACTAATTACATGTCATCAGCTACAGTGAGACCCTCAAAGGGGAGGCGACTTGAAACTTCTTTGAGGACTAAATTGAATGGCTCCCAGGCACTCTGCATCACGCAGGTGTTGGGATTTAAGGGGGTAGGAGGGCAGCTGTCCCTCCCAACTGCCCTCGGGCAAGGGCCAAGGCAAGGGTTGAGAGTGAGAACCCAGGTAAGACAAGTAAGGCAAGCGACTGCAAGCAACTCAGGGAAGTCTCCCAACATCTTGGTCAGCTCCCCCCATTGTCCAGATCCAGTCTAGGGAAGGGTGTTGCCGGGCCAGGGGCCCAGGACCCCCACACGCACAGTCTTGTTGCTTATTATCTATGTGAGACAACCTGGAAACCCCTCAGAGACTGCATGTCCTCATCACTAAATCAGAATAAACCGTTCCTTCTCCAGAGGAAGACAGAAGGGAATGTGTGAGAAGCACTGTGCAGAGCGTCTGCTGCAGAGTTGGCCTTCAGTACCTGTGAGAGGCCGCACAAGCCCTACCG